AGGCAAATTTTTTTTATTAGTTTCATAATTTTTTTTCAATTCTCTTCGATGCAAAATATTTTTATAACACTATACAATAATTTTTATTAATATTAATGTCTCTTGACTTAAGAGGAAGTTATTGTAAGACAGCTCTGTGGGACAGTCGTCTCTGAAATTGATAAACTGTTTAATTTTAATGTTTTACTTAAAACTATTTCCATCTTAAGTAACAGAATGCTTACACAAATAAAATTTTTATTAGCTACAATCATGGACAAGGTATTTTAATAAAATTGATACAAAATTTTAATGTAAATGGAATTTTTATTTATCGAAATAGATGAAATTACACAAAGTATTTCATTATTAACAAAAAGTAACAGTACAAAATTAGACACTCAAGGACAGCTTGAGTTGATTTAATAAATAACATATTATTATAGTTATCTTGTAACAATCAACTACGCAACAATCCACAAGAACCAAATAACATTCATCACTAGACTAAACAATTTAGAAATCAATTATGATTTTTCGATTATTTAAAAAATGGTAAAAATTGAAAAAATTAATTATTCCAAAATGAAATTTTATTGATTTTTCCGCCCTCGAGTGGTTTTGGGAGGCTGGTACTTCCTCGGGCGAAAAAGCAGTTTTCCGGAACTCGTTCGAAAAGTCTCCTTTACGAACCTCGTTACGTCCCTCGCCTTCGGCTCGGGCCGCAAACCTCTCGGTTCGCAAACAAAGACTTTTCAAACTCGTAGGAAAACTACCATTTACTACATGCTGATCACGTTCAACAAGGCGTAAAAATTAGTAGTTTTCGTCCGATAAATGCCATCATCTCCGGAGCTATTTTGCATCCCAGGGGGCGCAAAAAACTTTTCTTTCCGTGGGCTCAAAGTGACTACAAGGGCGCAAAGCGTGGCTCAAGGGCGCGAAGCGGCAGTTGCTCTTTGTGCCCAAGGTAAAAAAATGGTAGTTTTCCTACGAGTTTGAAAAGTCTCTGTTTGCGAACCGAGAGGTTTGCGGCCCGAGCCGAAGGCGAGGTCCGTAACGAGGTTCGTAAAGGAGACTTTTCGAACGAGTATCGGAAAACTGCTTTTTTGCCCGAGGAAGTACCAGCCTCCTAAAACCACCCGAGGGCGGAAAAAAAATTTTTCTTATCATGGGCACTATGTGCAACTGCCGTTTGACGCCCTCGGGTCACGCTTTGCGCCCTTGTAGTCACTTTGAGCCCACGGGAAGAAAAGTTTTTTGCATCCTCTGGGTCCAAAGTACTTTTCTGCCTTAGGGCCCAAAGTGATTTACTCGTCCCAAAATGTGCCCATGGGTGCAAAATTGCACTTTGCGCCCTTGGTAAGAAAAAAAAACATACGCGAATTGGGCACCAACTTACAGTAACCGCGCCCTTCGAGCGCTCATGTTTGTACTTTGTGCCCTAGTGACGTAATGTACCATTAAAATCACTAGTATCATTTGTACAGTTATTTACACTTTTAATAAAATTATAAATATCACTAGGTTCTTTCAATTAAAATTATCATACAAATTCTAAGCCTTCAAACTTTTCGTCTGCCACATGGAGATCAGGCATAATTATCTGTCCATCAATATTGAAGGCTGTTATGTAGGTAGCAGTTTTATTTAGATATTCTTCAGTCTTCAGAGCCACAATTATCGAGTCATTTGAATCAGGGAGGAACTTGAAACTTGAAAATCCTCTGATTGGCACTAATGAGCCCACATACACTACCTACAAAAATCAACAGTCATATAAAATATTAAATGGTAACACAATAAATTATATTACGTTTGGAAATAACTTTGTAATTATTTGTTGAAAAAATCCTGACCTTAATATTTACAAATTTCTCATCAGCTATTAGCAATACATTGCAAGCCATAGTTTCGTCTATTTTTTCATCATATTTCTCTTTTGAACACCTTCTTGGTAGGAAAAACCATTTTTTATGGACATCACTCCAGGCTCCCGACTCATGAATCATGTAGCCTTAAAGAAAATAAACAAATTAGTATGCACAAACGGATGTAAGCATTAAAATTTTCTGATGTGGCAGTATTACCTGGATATTCAATACCTATGGCTTCTCGTAAGTGTTTGAAGTTTGATTTCCAATTTCTAGAATAAACTTCACCATTAGGTGATATAACTTTAACCCACATAGGATCGTTGTGTACAAACTCTCCAGTGGAAGTAGTCCATTCTTTGCCCATACTACCAACATACAGTAGTTCGTCTTTCACAGTAGCCCACTCAGATTTAAAACCTACGCAAAAAATACGGCTCACGTTAATAAAAACAAGAGAAATAAAATTAAACAAGACTAACGTACCGTTTAATTAAATACAAACCTTTTTTACTCCTTCCATTGCCATCCATGAGTATGACCCAAGGATAAACATTGTCCCCTTCTAAAAAAAACGTCACTCCAGACCTGTCGTCAAAAGTTAATAGTCTTCCGTCAAAAGTCACTAGTTCAGACAACTCCATTCCTCTGCCCTTCATATTTAGATCCGAGGTCAGTGCCACGACGGCCTTATCCCACGTAACGGAGATAAAATTCCTGGAAGACATCCACATAAGATTGCCCCTAATCAGATTACTTTGCCACAAATTTCTCTGACTAGTACTTTTGGAGTTGGTGTCCCGATCACTGACGATCGCAATTTTGTAAGAAACACCCGTGAATTGTTTACTCGCAGGAGTCAGTGGGTAAGTCTTGTTGTAATTGTAATACTGGCGGGGTTGCAGCATGTGTTCCGGGGGCACGCAGATGAGGCTCTTCAGCAACGGATAGCCGTAGTATACGAAGCACGCGATCACGAGGAAGAGCAAGAAGACAAGAAAGTGGCTCTGGATACGCAGAGTACTGTTGCCGACCCTGTAAATGTGCGGCGTGCGAAGAGCCTGGCGCCAGTCACGCCCCAGCATTCTACTGCGCCTGCTGTTGTGGTACTCGTGCAGCAGGCGGCTCGTTGACTGGGACGTTGTCATCTCATCGTTGTTATCCGTATCGACGCACGAGTTGAGCTGCTGCTTGTCTTGGCTAACGTCGTGCTGCTGCCGGTCGGAGCCACGACGACGATGTTGGTGATTTTGCCGGCTATACCTTCTGCAAAATCAATGCCAATGATGTGGCATCATTATAAATAGCTCTTGGAGCTATATCTGCAGCAGCTGCTGTGCTGGGGTACTGTCTTGTCTGATCTGGTTGCTGCTGCTGTTGTTTACAGAAGTTAGTGTGGTTCACGTCGATAATGGCAGATTTGACTAACGATGGTGTATAAGATGCTGGGGTGCCTTAAGGTTGACGATCTCGTTGAAGGAGTGGGCGATCGCTTGGGTGACAGCAGCGTCATTATTGCGTAGACAAACTTATTTTGTGCGTCGGGGAATACATTCCACGTAAGCAGCAGCAACAGCAATGCTTCAGTATTGAGATAACGATGTCGTTTTTTTTTTTTTAAATAACTAATCATACGATCAATGAACTAACCTCATAATATATTTGTGACAACAAGCTTGCTTTGCTCGAGGAGATGACGATCGGCTACTGCTGACATTCACTGGAATAAATGAAAGAGCTGCTGCAGGTGATGTTGTAAAATTTTCTGTATATTTTCATGTATACACGCGTTTTGCGATAAAAACTTTAGTCTGTTATATATCTGTTGTATCTGATGCTATACCTGCTGGGCACTGCTGTATTTTTACTGTGTCCACACACACACCGTTTTCTGCCACCCACGCCGCCACCGCAGCAGCTGATACTCGATTGATAATGACTATTCCTTCATGAGCGTAGATCACATGATATACATGCGAGTGTATGGCGCACAGTCGGTATAGAAGATGCCTTAGTTACTCACTTTTGAGCAAGGGTAGACACCGGCAATATATGAAAAGTACGGTCTTGCATGTGAGACATCCCATGGCCGTATAAAACATGTCAAACATAAAAAAATATTATTACAGATGTCGTAAAGTGATGTATGTTAGAGAATTTTGATTTAAATCAATCGTTACCATAGTAGAGGAATCCTATCTTAAAACGTTGTAATGAACCAGTTGGATAGACACTATTCTAATATATATTTGCAAATAATATATTACTGGTAATTAGTGAAGTGCAATCACAATTCCTACATTTATTTTTCATTGTATGACTCTGTGTCCACGTCCATGATACTTTATCTTCATCTTTGCATCACTATTTCCCCATTTATACCGCCCAACACGTCCCGTTGATTAATTTATCTTTTAGTGATTGTGTATGTATCTTGTTGATGATGTCTTTTTAAAAAGTATATTATTTTTTGTGTCTTTCTCATTTTTAAATCACTTTTCTACTACGTGCTTCTACATTATTTCTCTGCCCACTTGTCAAAATTTATTTATGTGTCTCAGTATCTACCCCCTTCTTCAATTATTCATCAATTGACCTTTGGTATTGGCTTTCATTTTTATATCTGAGATTTTTCGACCCATAATAAACAGATTACCGTTCAAATGAAACTAACTTTCTCATTTTTTGAATAAGTTAAAGAGATTCGTAGATACTTGAGCAAAAATAATTTATAAATATTAAGCTGCTTACATGTATTAAATAATTTCACAAATCAACAACTTCAACATACCAACGTTTTAAAGAAAATAAAACATCACTCACATTACATCTACTTGAAATATTAAAGAATAGATCGAAATTCGAACCCTTATCTAAACCATATACAAAATTTAGTCTTACGAATACCTTTGAATGTCAAAATCTTACTCACTTATGTTGGTGATATGATGATAACAATACAAAAGTTAGCAGTTTTAAAGTGACATACTTTATTTAAAATATAGTATACAGTGTTTAATATATTTGCTGTACTATAATAGACTCATCAGGACCTAATTGAGTGTACAAACATGAAAAATCACAAATTAACATGAGTAATACTACAAAAACTTGTGAAATATTTTTTTTTTAAATAACTTTTGGACAGTTGTCGAAACTTATCAAACACAATTATTTACTTACTTTAATATTTTCAAATAAACTGTAGAATTTTTGTAAACCTTTCCGTCTTCTAAACACTTTGTTGAAATAAAAATTTTCGATAAATGTAAATGTTAGTCTTTATCTGGGGCATGTAGCACTATAGGAAAAGTAACTAAAAATCATTTAAAATACACATGAGCTCAAGGATGCAAAGCTCCTTTTGTTAAAGGTTATCATTAGTTTCTACCTGAATTTTTATTTTATAAAAAAAATTGAGTTCTGGGTTAAGCTTCCTTTTTCTTAAAGTAATTAGTTTCAATAATATTAGTTGAAAGTGCTACATTTGTACGATTTCTCAAAATTTTTATTTAAGACTGAAATAGTTAAATAAAATCGAATTAAAAAAAAAAAGATTAAATTGTGATTCCATGACAGTTTATGATTTTTGACTTATGTAAGAGTAAAAAAAGTACTCTTATAATTCACACCTTTATTTCAATTTCCATTTTAATGTAAAATAAGGATTTTAAGTAAAAATCAATAACACCATCAGAAAGAGTAGCCCACAGTGTGAAAATTTGTGGATTTTCATTACAACTTTTTGCTACTTTCAATATATCTCAAGCAAATTCAACAGAGAGCTTGATATGCAAAAAAATTTAAAATCTCCCAAGCACCAGAAGGCGCGGCATCTTTGACTAGGTTGCTCCCAAATTCTAGGCTTGTTGAGTAATGTGACATTATTCTCACTATAATTTGGGCCTTCCGTGTGGTTTTACATTACCTCTCTATAGTTATTAGTGTGTAGTACAGATTTTGAAAGCCACTGCCAATAGACTAATATTTAGACAGCAGTCCCAATATCATCGTCAAGATATAGTTATAAGCAAAAGATATATTACGTTATGGTACTTTTGAACTCACCTTTAGATTTTTAGATACCTATTCTTATTTTCTTAATCGTATTTCTTTAACCATAGATTATGTAAATAGATAGTATTTTAAGTCGTTTCAGTACTTATTATTTATTACAGATATTTTTTGAGATTGTCTGTAATGATTATAAAACACGATGAGTTGCAACAAAAGTTTTTTTATAAATATTAAAAAATCTTATAGTTACTTACGATAACAACTTAAGGGTTTTAATCTAATACATAGCAAAATATCATCTTATATACTTCTGCATGTCAGTGCTAACATTGACATCTTAAAAAATCAGTAGTTACAAATATTAAAATATTTTTTAATAACTAATTACTTATGACTTATCAAAAAACTTTTATGCATAAAACGTACATATGTAACTACATGCAAACAAACATGCGTGAGACGTAGTTACTTGCTAAGTATATTTTAGATACGTTACTGCTACATTACTGATAATATTGACACTGGTATATCTATGGTTTACATAATTTTGTAATCTATAACCTTGTGAAGTGGTAACAACTACGTATACTGTAATAATATTACCAGCACATTATCTTTAGACACAAATAGAAAATACCACTTTAAAAACAGGAGACTTTAAAAAATTATAATATATAGAAAGAATCATACACACTAATTCGTTTCGGTCTTTATAAACCCATTTACGTAATTGCAACTATCTCAAGTACAGATACATCTCTAACATAGCAGTATGTGCAAAGCCAAAATAAATTGAGCAGCTTTTAAAAAAACTTAAGGAAAAAATTAACTTCTATTAATTATTGTCTCTGCGTTTCAGTCAAGTTATACCACCTGCGGCAAAAGCATCACATCGTTTAGCTATGAACAAGAAAATGCACGTCTTTATCTACTTTCTGGTTTTCCTGATCTTTTCCGTGCTTATATGCATAGGGTACTTCAGCTACCCGTTTTTCAAGAGCCTAATCTATTTACCCAGGGATGATCTATCACTGCCCTGCCAGTACAACAAGACTTACCCACTGACTTCTTCAAGCAAATAGATAAACGGAATCTCTTATAAAATCGCAATTATCAGTGATCGGGACACTAACTCTAAAAATACCAGCCAGCAATATTTATGGCAAAGTAATCTTATGAAAGGCAATTTAACGTGGATCTCTTCGAAAAATAATTATCTCTTGCATGGGAGAAGAACGTCGTGGCACTGACCTCGTATCTAAATATGAAGGGCAGAGGAATGGAGTTGTCTGAACTAGTGACTTTTGACGGAAGACTATTAACTTTTGACGACAGATCTGGAGTGACGTTTTTTTTAGAAGGGGACAATGTTTATCCTTGGGTCATACTCATGGATGGCAATGGAAGGAGTAAAAAAGGTTTGTATTTAATTAAACGGTACGTTAGTCTTGTTTAATTTTATTTCTCTTGTTTTTATTAACGTGAGCCGTATTTTTTGCGTAGGTTTTAAATCTGAGTGGGCTACTGTGAAAGACGAACTACTGTATGTTGGTAGTATGGGCAAAGAATGGACTACTTCCACTGGAGAGTTTGTACACAACGATCCTATGTGGGTTAAAGTTATTTCACCTAATGGTGAAGTTTATTCTAGAAATTGGAAATCAAACTTCAAACACTTACGAGAAGCCATAGGTATTGAATATCCAGGTAATACTGCCACATCAGAAAATTTTAATGCTTACATCCGTTTGTGCATACTAATTTGTTTATTTTCTTTAAGGCTACATGATTCATGAGTCGGGAGCCTGGAGTGATGTCCATAAAAAATGGTTTTTCCTACCAAGAAGGTGTTCAAAAGAGAAATATGATGAAAAAATAGACGAAACTATGGCTTGCAATGTATTGCTAATAGCTGATGAGAAATTTGTAAATATTAAGGTCAGGATTTTTTCAACAAATAATTACAAAGTTATTTCCAAACGTAATATGATTTATTGTGTTACCATTTAATATTATATATGACTGTTGATTTTTGTAGGTAGTGTATGTGGGCTCATTAGTGCCAATCAGAGGATTTTCAAGTTTCAAGTTCCTCCCTGATTCAAATGACTCGATAATTGTGGCTCTGAAGACTGAAGAATATCTAAATAAAACTGCTACCTACATAACAGCCTTCAATATTGATGGACAGATAATTATGCCTGATCTCCATGTGGCAGACGAAAAGTTTGAAGGCTTAGAATTTATATGATGCAATGTAGTAAAGAAACAGTACTGCATGTAGACACGGTTATAGTGTGGCAGAATATTACTGTATATACAGGCTATGTAAGGTTATAAGCTAATGAATGAATTTTTTTCTATGCATTTAATCATATTTCAAGATTTTACTCAACATTTTTACGAATGAGGATTTAAATTCAGAGTCAAGTCTTGCTATTCCAAATTTCAAAGTATAGTGATGAGTCTTGAATGTACATAAATACGAGTTGCAATTCTCATCAAACTTGTAATACTACCGCTGTCGTAAGTAGAAAAAGGGCTGCCAACACCTAACTTAATGACGAGCGTATAATGCTTAGATTTTCTGCTTTTTGCAATGAGTTTGACGTTCTAGTCGTGAACTCTGCTGTTTTTATACGAGTTAATTAATGTAACATACATCGAATAAATGCCCCTTATCTTCACATAAATGTATATTCATTTATTTTTTTTCTATTAGTTTGATTATTGATATTAGTATATTGAGCAGTAAGATTAGCAGTGACAGAGTCTAGTAAAGGTCAATGTCCGAAAAATCTATCCCAACCACTGGTAACATTGAGTACCTGTGCAGATCTCTAATCGTTCATTATCTAAAGAAGAATGAAATAACATTGTTAGAGTAAATAACTAACTACGCAAAAGCGATAAAAATAATTAACAATAAGAGGCGACAAAAAGGCTGTTTTTGTAACTGAATTACGTATAATGTGTTTTACGTAAGGAAACTAAATAAACTTTACTGTTTTTTGTTACTTACTAAAACATGTAATAGGCTTATACGTTGTTGAAAATAGTTTTAGTAAAAGAAGTTATTGAGAAATCAATGGACTTTTGTCATTCTTTTTGTTTATTTACCACAATTAGTAAGATTTGGAATGCTTAGTCAGCCATCCTTTTATCAGTATAATATCATGAAAGTGTAAATGAAAAATTCAATATTACCCAGTGGATTTTTTTATCATTTTTTTGTTCGTTACAGAATTCGTATAGAATTTCACAAATGCCACAAATTTTATTTTGACGACAAATAATAAGGTTATTTGCTTGAATTTAATTGAATTTCTAATTACTTGACTCATCTACAATAAGTTGAAAAAAAAAAAATAATAATAATAAATGTACCGTTTTTTGAGCACTAATGTAGAATGTCGCAAACCTTGTCCAACTTTCTGTCTGCCGTTTAAAAAATAAATATTTTCCACAAATTTGCGCGTGTTCCTAATCATCTGATAAATTTTTGATGGGCATAAAAAAGTTATAAGCAGTTTTCTATCTAAAAAGTTTTATTACCAAATTTTAACGTAAAAAACTAGAACAGCACCTCAGTATGAATGTTGGAATTCTGATCTGACAACGTGGTGAAGAGACCAATACTTAATAGGTATATGAAAAAAGTAGGGATACGTACCTAAATTTTCAAACGATCTCTTTGTAGCCTATGGACCAGTACAAAACGAAAATCGCATACAACCCTTAGCCAGAAGTAGAGAAGCCTCTGTAAAGTAAGTATCGCTCCGTAAAAAAATATTATTCCACCCAACGCCCTCCAAAAAAACTCTTGTGCATTTGTGACCAGGAAAACTCCTCGCTCACCCCACTCACCCTCGCTTTGTCTAAAACGAAACCAATCCCCAAAAACCATTCCAGTAAGCCCCTAGTACCCCCACCCTCCATCCACTACAGCACCACCACCGTTAACAGCAGCAGCAATACATCTCCAAAAAACTCTCGCGGGTATTTCTCCCGCGTGCTCAGTATTTCGCGCAATATCGAGAGAGCCCGGGGTGCTTCGAAGGGTACAAGGGTGGAATCTCCCACGTAACTCGGGGGAGCACGAGGGAGCGAGAAGAACAGCGGGATGCAGAGGGGGTGGCAGGCGGACGGCTAAGGGGAGGTTGACCGGCCCGCCGGCCGGAGAAAAGCCGTATACAACAGCTGTACTCCCTCAGTCAGTCGCGTGACACTCACGCGCGTTACCGTGCATGTGCAGGGCAAGCTGACACCGCTGCCCCCCTTTTCTACTGGCGCGCGCATTTTCCGTCCAACCTTTTCCTTTATTTTCTCTTTTTCGTATACAATTGCTCCACGTGCTCGCGTTTTGGCTACTGAGCGTCTTTGCTCCCGGCTCTTTATTAGCTCGCGCTAGTACACTCACTTAGCTTGCGAGTGTCGACTAGTTGTATTTTAGTTTTTATGCATTTTCCATTGTTTGAAAAAATGAGCTGAAATTGGTTTACTGTTAATGAAAGAAAACGTACATCAATATCGTAATTGCTGTATATGGCACTATTCGTTTTCTATGATTTTAGTGTATTACAGTGATCTTTGTTGAGTGTTTTAGTGTTACTATTCTCCAGCAGTGTGATTCGGTATCAATACAGGTGCACTAAGCTGACGTTTTTTTTTTAATATTAAAGTGTTATTCGCACAGCATTTCATCCAAAAAGTAAAACAAGTCTTCAGAAGAGAAATTAACAATAATGTATGAAAATTCCACGGAATATATGATAACACATGCTATTGTTCTTGCACCAAATGCAAAATTACCGTTGATAGTAGTTGATCAATACAAAATAATATGATCACAAGCCTACAAGCACAAGTATTACGCATATCCCCTCCACAAAACACGTCCATTTAATGTATTCAAAGGATAAAAAACTTTTTTCAATACAGAGTGCTTAAAAGCTTGACTGAAAATCAATAGGTACGCTAAACCAAGAGAGCGTGCGGATGGTGTATCCTAATCGAGCAGTACAAGTTGAATGAACCAGTCATCTCGATAACCTGCTGATGTTGAGCAATAATAGATTATTTATTATTAGTACAAAAAGACACTCTGTGATCAAAATAGATCAACTCTTTGGGTGAAGTCTTGATCATCTAAAAAGTTCCAAAGTGCAATAACGAGATACGCTACACTCCTGACTTTCCTGTGCAATAAATATCCATACCCACGCGACGAAGTCAAGCCATACATCGGCACACAATACACGTACCGTTGGCGCATACATCGCAGTATATAGGACCAGCTTCGCCGAAGGAGAGAAAGGACTATCGAAGCACGGCTGTTTTGCGTCGTCCGCGTGGTCGGTAGCACCAACATCGGAGTCGTCTGCACGTGCGCGCACGCCCCCCTCTTCGTATCGTGCTATCGCCGCTGTTGAGCTACCGGTACGTTTTCATCTGTGAGTGTTTGCATGTGGGTGGCTGTATGGGTGGAAGATAAAGGGCAGCAATGGGTGTATGAAGAGGGGAGGATTTTCGGTTCGCGATTGCGACGTGGTCGTGTCGATGCGTATAGACTACGTTATTTTGATAGGATTGAGCTTTGCAATTGGTATTTATGTAAGGGTTCAATATCCTTACTGTCATGTCTAATCAAAGGATTGAGTTTGGATTGGATTGGGAAATATATGAGTTTGTTTACAGTTTTCCCGTTCTGTTGCGATAGGCTGTACGTGCGATGATTTGTTCGAAATGGAGTTTTCAGTGATACAGGTCAATTTGCAGTCGGACGTGAATAAATGAACGCAGTTCTGTGAAATAAAATGTGCCCCAAGTGGTTAAAAATTTACTCGGTTTAGATATGAATTCACTAGAGACATGTTTCCGTCGATATTTTCCAGTGTTAAATTATTTCCTGGAATAACACAACCAAGGGCAATCTCGTCATTAGTGGAGCAACGATCAATCAAATTGGCTCTTATGTCCGTTATTTGTGCTTCGTGGAGAATTTATCAGATTCTCTTGTGTACCTTACACTCTAGTAGAATATAATAATGGCTGGGTTGTCATTACCGCTTATATATAAGATTTATTTTTAACCTGACATGAACGTTAAATTACGTTACGCCAGTTTGAAAGGCTTGTCTTATTTAAATACAAAATTAGTTTCGATTCACGCTGTACATCGTTTTTTTTGTATCGTGATGCAATTACTATTACAGAATACATATTCTTTCCAATAATATGATATATTAATCAGCGTTAGATTTTAGTTTCATGTATTTTAATTTCGTTGATGAAACCTTAACCATTGGAACAGGCAATCTCCCGTCCATCGATTTTCATTTATACCCAATTGCGATGAGCCGATAAGAACTTTACGTGACATATACCTTCGATAATCAATATTCTTTCATCGTTCCTACTTTCACCTTTCATCACTTGGAGTAAAAATTAAAAAGAATAGTCCTTTGAAAGTACAACAAAATAAATAAGTACTTTCAACTAGTAACAGGAATGATAAAAATTCTGCAGTGAAAAATTATAATTTCTAAACAATCAAAGACTCATTCCAAGATCAATCCTTCACTACTATTGAAATCGTCAATATATATAAATCACGAAGCTCATAAATGAAACAGGAAGAAAAAAATTACGATCACCAATGAACAAGAATGTAAGCTCACTCGTACCATCTCTTTCCTCGACTCATCGTATGTCATACATAACGATGGTATGTAGTTTTTTAAATACTTGAGCTAAACTTGCGTCGAATCTTCATCCGCACTGGCCCCTGTACTATACCGTTGTACAAAACAAAGACTACAGTTCAGCCCTTGCGTATATATTGCTCTGCATGTGTATCCCTTCTACCCGTATATAAACTGCCCAGACTAGCGCACAATATGGACACGCGACGCGTGACTGCGGTAAAACGCCAGCCTACCGTACATCGAACGCTATAGTGCGGTTTGATATTGCGAATCGAGGCCGTACTTTTCACCCGCACATGCGCTGTGCAGGAGCTTGGTCCTTTTTTTTGGCCGTGCAGGCGTGCAACTGCCATCGCTCTGTAGTCCTATTTTTTCGAGGCGAGCAAGGCTAGAGTTTGAATGGGTTCCAGGCGTGCAAACTATAGGTGCAACTCTTAGCTACACGTCGAATGGAAGGAAAAGTGTGCAGGAGGTGAGTTTATCAGCTCGTGCAGTCTGGACTTCATCTTGATTGCTTTGGGGTTTTATTTACGGGCAGTCTTAT